GCAATTTTTAAACGTGGTAGAGCCATGCTGCAGCTATATTAGTAGTATAGTGGTAGCACGAATGGGTCGGCTCAACCGGGGAAGGACCACGCTCTCACAGAATACCAGCGTAAAATAGCAGTTTAACACTGCTGTGTTTCGTATGGTGAGTGTAGAGAACAGGAGACCCTTTTTACTGGAAAAGAGACATTTCATCTTAGTCCTCACGTGTGACAACGCATCTGCATTTTGATTCGCAAACGAGGATAAATGTAGATGTCTATGGGCCACAGCAACCACTTACCATCAGGTGGACTGTGTGCTCGTTTGTCACCTGATCCTATTAAAAAAAAAATCAACAAATATTATGTATTTTGTCCTATGAAATGAAAGTCTCTCTAACAAATATATATTTTGTTGTCCTTTGCAGTTATTTCGAAGGAGAAGTGGGAAGAGTTGTTGTCAGCCAATAACTGGAACAGTGTTGAACTGCGTGACAATCGGTACAACCACATCGTTCATATGGTCTCTGCTGCAAATGGTGCGGAGGACTTTTATTCTACCGAGGTATATATTTTTCACCCTATTTTTATCTATACTATCACTGTAAAGAATCAACATTGATATATTATGGCTTTTTTAACATTTGAAATGAATACCATAGGTAATATACGACACGACACGAAGAAAGTTTAAAAGCTTTTTGTAGGAATGTGCCAATTTAAATTTTTCCTATACACTTTACGAGGTAAATTGAAATATGTTTCATTGTTGAAATGGGCTTTTTTCACGATCGCACAACGCGACAAAACTCGCGATACCATCCATACCATCTGGATGATTGGCGGTCCACCACTGTGCGATTTAGAAGATGTTTTCTTCCTCGCACAACTTCCTTGCGGAATCGATTACCACCAGCGGTTTTTATTTTTCCGGACCGATACGACTTAGGGACCTTAGAAAAGAGCCTACTCCTTTTTAAGAGGCCGGCAACGCATCTGCAATTCCCCTGGTTTTGCTCGTTTGGCCCCTCTCCTATAAAAAAAAATTTCGCGTGATGTTTTTTTTTTACAGGATAAGCGTGACAAGTAAGCACACAGTCCACCTGATGGTAAGTGGTTGCTGTGGCGCATAGACATCTACATCTATCCTCGTTTGCGATTAAAATGCAGACGCGTTGTCAGCCGTGTGGACTAAGATGGGATGCCTCTTTTCCAATAAAAAGGGTATCCGGTTCTCTACATTCAACATACGAAACATAGCAGCATCAAGTTCGCTGTATTCCGTGAGAGCGTGGTTCTACCCCAGTCGAGCCGAGCCATTCGTGCTACAACCATAATATAGCTGCAGCGTGGCTGTACCACGTAAACGCAATACATTGATAATTTCATGAAATTATAATTTATGTCACTGTGAAGGTGTGAAGAGTTAGGTCAGAAAGACATAACGAAGGTTATTAGGGTCTTTATATAACATTGAAACCTTACAAACTAAGCTTATCTTAGAGTTCATTACCGTCATTACTGCCTATCATTAACCCACTCTAACATGTGAAATAAATTGTCACAAAGCATGTTCCTGAGCTACCCTCATACATCGACTCGTCTTCATTCTACCTAGTGAGATGTCAGCATACACTATGTTTGCCAGTAGAAGGTGGCACCTCGAAATCCTTTCTTTGCAATTGCTTGTTAGTTCTTCGAGCTAAATGACCTTCGCCACTTCAGGCAAATGATATGTTGAGCTGAAAGTTAAACTTGTTCTATGTATGTCTCCAACCTTAGTAACTATTTACACAATAAATAATAGTACAAGCTATTGACAATTTTTAAGGTTTTTACTAGTGTAACAATGTCTAAAGGAGACCTAAAATGTACGTTAAAATATAGCCATTCACTTTTAAGTTTTGTGACATATTAAATTGCATATATTTTTTCTAGAAAGTTATAATAAAACTTACGTGTATTGCTCTTGAAATACATCTTAGATAATAAAGTGAAATTAAATTCAGAAAAAAAAATGAGTTACAAATTTAAACATTCATGACCAGGTTACTAACGTATTCGTAATATAGATGTAACTCTCCGTAACCGTGATATCTATCGCCTACTATTTTTATACCGCGGAAATAAACAATGTAAAATTTGTTTATCGCCGAGTGCAATTGTACGAGTTAACGTGATGACGTGATGGCGTGATGGCACTTGATGTAAACACTTCTACGCATTTCACCTCTCATCATAATACATAGCTCACATATTCAAATATGATTAAAGTGCCTCGCATGACTTGCAAACAATGCAACCACTTTTATATATATATATAGCTGGCTATTTGCCATACGTATGTGTACATATGCGATAGATAGACTACTGTCTATTATCTTTCTGTCTATATCAAGGTCTTAGATATTATGAAGAACATGATGTAGTGTAGATTATTTTATCGTGGTCAGTTATAAACAATGTAAGATTATGTCTGTGTTATGCTAAAACTAGTTTTATCTATTTTTATAGTATAAAAAATAGGTCTATTGTGGTCATTATAGGGTGACAAACGAGTACACAGTCCACCTGATGGTAAGTGGATGCTGTGGCTCAGATATCTACATCGATTAAGAATCAAAATTCAAAAGCATTGTCACTTCTGAGGACTAAGATGGAATGCCTAATTTCCAGTAAAAACGGTCTCCTGTTCTCTTTTCACACGTCTATTACCATTGCCTAGGATGTTTACCATGATTAACACAAAATAACTCGACGCTGTTTATTTATGATAAATAATTACATACAACCATAGCAGTTTAGTTACCACCTTTTTTCCACTATGTTGGTTTTAATTTATCTAGATGACCTTCATTATCAACATTGTGCAATCATAGATATGTACTGCATGTTTGAAGGACATCACATAAACAATTAAATTATATTACAATGCATATTACATAGTTATGGATTATAATAACATAATACTTTAGATACTTAATTGAATTAAAAATTGTTACGTTATGACTAACTTTACCATATTGCAGAAAAGGAGAGATTAAATAACATTTAATGCTGCATTGTGTGTTATTTAACTTTTTCTATTTTCAGGATCACGCGTGTCGTTCTGAAGGCATGGAGCTAGCTCGCGAGCTGGACTACAACGCCGCCGCAGCGTGGATCGGTCACCCGTACTTCGACGTCATAGACAACTCCACAGATTTCGACAAGAAAATGAATCGCCTCATCGCGTGTGTATGCCAGCGGATCGGCATCGACACCGGCGACCGCCTCAACGTCAACTCGAAGAAACGCAAATTCCTGGTCAAAACTCCGCTCCCACCGGAGTCGGAGTTCCCGCCATTCCAGGACTTCGATGTCGTTCATAATTACTTGCAGAGCGACTTCCGCAAGGCACAGGTTAGACTGCGCAAGCGTGGCCAGAAGGGTCATTGGTCTTATATTCACACTGTGAGAAAGTTTCACCCGACCAATGGGCAGTCTGTAGAAGTGCGTACGCAGTTGACGCATAGAGATTATCTAAATCAGCTTCCTCAGCGCGACGATGCTCACTTCACGATATTTAAGAAACGCCGTTGCTTCATCTACAACAATCAGTACTACCAATTGGACATATACAGACAACCCACACATCCAAGGTAATTTGATATATTATAATGACAAGATTTAATCTTAAGTATGTATTTACTTAGTAAGCAAAATAAAGTTTGTTTAAATTTTTTTTTCTAATGACATTAAAATCAATCAATATTTAAAGTTAAATAGGTAAAATGTTTTAAAATTTCCTTGTTTTTTATTTTGTAACAGTTTTTTTTTTAATTATTTTTCAGATGTCGTGGCTTAGTATTGCTAGAAACATACAGTGCTGCTTACGATCAAGATGCGCTCTTAGCATCATTACCCAAGTTCCTGACCATAGAAAAGGAGGTGACAGGCGACCCTGCCTATTCTATGTATAACTTATCACTTAAAGAAGATTGGAAGACATCGAAAAAGTATTACTCGGGCAGCGATGCCAATGGCAAGTATTTTGTTTATCTATGTTTTAATATTTATGCACTTCCACTTATAGTACTAATTCATTAACAAATATTAGTAGATAGCACAAACTATTCCATAAATCATGTTTGCTGACATCATTAAATACTATAAATGGAAGTAATGCTAAATGTAGTAAGCAGCACATATATATTCACCATTTGCATGCTTATTGTATGCACTATTTTTAACAATTATTATATAATAGAATTATAAAATATATATTCAATTACTAAATATTCAAAAACATTATTGAATAATTATTTGCGATAGATTTTTTAATTCTACTATTTCTAGTTTAATTTTAATACAGTTCTCGCGCTTGACAAATTTTTATCACTAAATAATTAACAAAGTTGCTTATCCCAGATATTGGTTACAAAGATTGGAATCATAAATTTATTGAATACGTTACGTTGAATAAAGTTTTATAATTTTTATTTTAATAAGGTCTTATACCAGCACGTCCAGCTATAACAGTCTCCTGGTTATGTCTTGTCGTAGTCTTGCATCTTTGGTGCATCTACTTATGTATCACTCGTTTATTTAACTCATTCCCTAAAAGCTCGTAAATCCGAATGTGTATACAACAATCAGCATCAAGTAAGGAGGACGACAACGAATTCCGCAATGCGACACTCCTGCGACTGTCGTGCGATGCTGATATGTTGCACACACATCCAGTTTGGAACAGCCTTAAACCTTATTTTAATATGTTAAATGTTGCAATATTTATTAACACAATTTGATAAAGTTTACTACAGTGTTACTTTATTTGCTTTAATCTGTCAAAACACATGCATGTAAATTAATAACAAACTTATATTCACATGTATGTATATACACTTAACAATCATTATTAAATATATTTATAAGCCCTAGTATTGTATGCATGTCATATTTAATAATAACTTTATAAACACTGGCGTAATTGTGTCTTGCATAGACTTTCCTTCTTAGAAATAGAAGTTATTCAATGTGATCCTTTTAGTAAATGTAACTAGATGTTGTGGTTGATGTCATCTGTTTAATGTTTTGTACAGTATTCGTGGTTGTTAGTGCTAGATTGGTCGGTAGCTGCCCTAAAAGGGCTCTGTAAAAGAATTAAAGGCGATACGTAATTTTCCAGATACGAAAGCTACCAGTGCGGGACATGCGAGCACTGATTTTCTTTCATCAGATGAATCACCTAACACGGACTAACAAAAATATCAAGGACTAATATATATTTGAAAGTTATTTTTCTACTAACAATATAATAAACACGATTTTGCCAGTGTTGATAGGGATATTTTGAGAAGGGGGTTAATGGTTTTTTATGTTTTTGTTTTGGTTTTATCAGGACAAGCTAAGTGGAGTATGAATGGTTACACTGGGGACAAAATTAATTGCCATGGTGATAAGATTAATGGGCATGGAGGGGATAAAATACATGGACCTGGTGAAAAAGACAATGGTTATGATGGCAAAATGAATGGCCACCATAAGAAGAATGCACACGGCCCAGTCTCTAATAGAATCATGGTGAATGGCGAAGCTCATGATGCAGAGCTTAAAAAATTCAAAAACCATGGCGTAGATTTGCAGACACCAAAGATTCCCAAGAAGGTTGCACTTAAGACCTAATCTAATGCTATACATAATTGTGTTTTAGAATTTAAATTTCACTTTATAATATTTCGATAAACACCAAATGGTAATACTATTTTAGCTAAGGTTAACTGAAAGTGTAAAATCCTATCTGCTCATTAACTATTTTATTACTGGCATGACAAATACAAACAAATCTATTTTTATAGTATTTCTTTAATATATAAAGCAACAATATAACTAAACATCTGCACCATGAAACTGTATATATAATATATTTAAATAAACAACTACTAGATTGTATTGTTTGTGCCTTTACCACAGTATTGTATATTCGAAAAAAATTCACATTTGACATAGTACTTAATATTAGATGCATTATTAAATTAATTATTACTGCATCAAATATAGCTATACATAATTATCCTGATTAGTACCAACTTTTTCGTATATTCAAATTATTAGAAATATCTTAAATGAAGTTTTGTTTTTAAAATATATTTATTGTTACTTAAATAAAGACAAAGATGAAGAGAATAGATGTGAAAATTTGAATATCTTGATATTGTAGCGTCATTGTCAGTAGTTCCTTGACATTTAACTTTGTAAGATGTAGTGGATTAAATATATTTATTGTAGAACATGTCATCTTAAGTGTGTAATAAACATGACGCATGAAATTATACAATGTCTGAAAAAGAAATCAATTGACATGATGTGTATGAACTACTTATTTAATTTTACGCTACATAGATTTTAACGTTTTTAAATTATGTATTTTTTGGTAGTTATAAATTCGCAACAATAGTGACACGAAGTATTTCACTACAGTATTGATGTGTACTACTTCAATGACATTTCTTCATGCATAGACCGCGTTGGGAAAAGCAATCATAAACATTGTAATGGCTGTGCTGTAATATAATGTAATTATAACATCAAATGTTTTAATTATACAAACTGTCAGAAACATTTTTCATTGGTGATATATATCTTTATATTACATTGCATGTAAATAATGATATACAATACAATGTTTTTATGTATTGAATATTTTATTGTGATTACAAATCAATTTTAAAATTACACAGAATTTTAAACATCGTCTAAATTATATTACAAAAAATATATATACAATGCTGAATAACCAAGACCTTTGTAAGTTTCTTCAACGATGTTGTGATATAAAGGTCTCAAAAATGAGTGTAATGAATTCCTTGGCATCGTTTCCTAATAAAGAAAACGTTTAATTACATACTTGACTTTTATTGTACATTTCAATTTTGTGTAGAACTTCCATGAAGTGCCGTGTAGTGGCGGTCAAGAATACCACTACCCCATATCCTCCCGTGGGTGTCGTAAAAGGCGACAAAGGGAAACAGGCAGGAGATGGGCAGCAGCATCTTCCTGATAATAGCCAAAATTACAATAAAAAAACTGCGGTTGCCAACCCGCTCGCCAAGCGTGGCAACTATGGCAATATACCCCCCATAATGAAAGTTACGAAGAGACGGCCCCCAGTCCCCGGCGGCCCCGCTATTCCTGGCTACGGTGGCGACCATGGTAACGGCGGGGCAGGGGGTGCTAAGAATCTCCGGTGGAGGTTCGGTTGCCACCTTAGACGACTCGACCTGGCAACGTACAACGCACGCACCCTGAGGACTGACGAGAAGATCGTGGAGCTGGAAGAAGAGATAGACAAGTTGCGCTGGCATATTATAGGATTATCCGAAGTCCGAAGAGAGGGGGAGGACACGGTAATCCTCGAATCCGGCAACTTGCTCTATCACCGGGAGGGCGACCATCTGTCCCAGGGAGGTGTCGGATTTATCGTCCACAAGTCTCTCGTTAACAACGTTGTAAAGATCGGGAGTGTGTCGACGAGGGTTGCGTACCTTATACTCAGAATCACCAAACGGTATTCGCTGAAGGTCATACAGGTTTACGCACCAACCTCGGCACACCCCGATGGGGAGGTGGAGGAAATGTATGAGGATATCTCTAGAGCCATGCATTCCTCCAAAACCCAATATACGGTGTTAATGGGAGACTTCAATGCAAAACTAGGCACAAGAGAGAACGGTGAGCTGAAAGTAGGGAAATTTGGAATAGGGCAACGGAACCCAAGGGGCCAGCAGCTGGCCGACTTCATGGAGAAAGAGGGACTCTTTATGATGAACTCTTTCTTCCAGAAGCGGCCCCACAGGAAGTGGACCTGGTCGAGCCCCGACGGTTCGACAAAAAATGAGATTGACTTCATTATGACGACCAGACGACAACTGTTCAGTGATGTCTCCGTGATCGCGAGGGTGAAAACTGGTAGCGATCACCGAATGGTTAGAGGCACACTGAACCTAAACGTTAAGTTGGAGAGGTCTCGTCTAATGAAGTCAACGCTCCGTCCCCCTCGTGCTCTGTTCCAAAGTCCCGAAACCTTTCAGCTCGAGTTACAAAACCGTTTTCAGTGCCTAGAAGACTGCAATGAAGTGGACGATATGAATGACAAGCTCGTGGAAACTGTCCATGCGGTCGGAGCTAAGTTCTGCAAGACCCGCCGCAGAAGAACACAAAAACTCTCCGATCACACTCTTAATCTCATGGCTGTTAGACGGGAGATGAAGCTACATTCTTCAACAGACTTGACAGCATACAGGCATCTGAACAGACAGATCTCCAAATGCATGCGGCGGGACTTACGCAACTTCAATACAGCTCGTATTGAAGAAGCGATCGAGCGGAACCAAGGCTCCAAAGTCTTTGCCAGAGATCTGTCTGCCAGAAAGAGCCACCTGTCAAAGTTGAAGACAGAATGTGGCAGCATCGTTTCCGGGACACCTGAGATTTTGAGTGAGATTGAGAGGTTCTATGGGCAGCTGTACACGTCATCGTTGGAGCCACACGCAAGTGTGAGTAACGATCCAAGAGCGAGTCTCATCCGACACTATTCCGAAGATATCCCGGACATCAGTCTAAGCGAGATTAGAATGGCTCTCCAGCACCTTAAAAACGGTAAGGCCCCAGGCGAGGATGGAATTACAGCGGAGCTTCTGAAAGCGGGTGGAAGACCGGTACTTGAAGTCCTTCAGAAGCTCTTTAATTCCGTCCTCCATGGTGGCATTACACCGGAGGCGTGGAGCAGAAGTGCGGTGGTCTTGTTCTTCAAGAAAGGTGACAACGCTCTCTTGAAGAACTACCGACCGATTTCCCTTCTGAGCCGCGTCTACGTGCTGTTTTCGAGAGTCATTACGAATCGTCTCGCGCGCAGACTTGACGACTTCCAGCCTCCCGAACAAGCCGGTTTCCGAAAGGGCTTTAGCACCATAGACCACATACATACCCTTCGGCAAATTGTACAGAAGTCCGAAGAGTACAATTTGCCACTATGTCTGGCGTATGTGGACTATGAGAAAGCCTTTGATTCCGTCGAAATTTGGGCGGTGCTGCAGTCCCTTCAGCGGTGCCAAGTTGACTGTCGGTATATCGAAGTGTTGAAGTGCTTGTACAGTAGGGCTACGATGGCTATCCGAGTACAGAACCAGAGTACGAAACCTATCCAATTGCAGAGAGGTGTAAGACAGGGTGACGTCATATCCCCGAAACTCTTCACCGCTGCATTGGAAGACGTTTTCAAGCTTCTGGACTGGAAAGGATACGGTATCAACATCAATGGCGAGTACATCACTCACCTTCGATTTGCCGACGATATAGTCCTTATGGCAGAATCGCTGGAGGACCTAAGCACTATGCTCAATGACCTCGATAGTGTTTCCCAAAGGATAGGTCTTAAGATGAACATGGACAAAACAAAGATCATGTTCAATGTCCATGTCACACCTATGCCGGTAGTTGTTGGGAGCACTAAGCTCGAAGTTGTTGACGAGTATGTTTACCTGGGACAAATAGTCCGACTAGGTAAGTCCAACTTCGACCGAGAGGTCAATCGACGGATTCAACTCGGCTGGGCAGCGTTCGGGAAGCTACGACACATCTTCTCGTCAGACATACCTCAAAACCTGAAAACGAAATTGTACAACCAGTGCGTGTTGCCAGTGATGACTTATGGAACTGAGACGTGGTCCTTCACTGCTGGCCGTATGAGGAAGCTCAAGGTCGCTCAGCGAGCTATGGAGAGGGCTATGCTCGGAGTTTCTCTGCGTGATAAACTTAGGAATGAGGATATCCGCAGTAGAACCAGAGTAACCGACATAGCCCAACGGATTAGTAAGCTGAAGTGGCAGTGGGCCGGCCATATAGCTCGAAGAACCGACAACCGATGGGGAAGAAAGGTTCTCGAGTGGCAGCCTCGTACCGGTAGGCGAAGTGTAGGGCGTCCCCCAAACGAGATGGAGTGACGACCTGGTAAAACATGCAGGAAGTCGATGGATGCAGGTGGCTCAGGACCGTGCTTTGTGGCATTCTTTGGGGGAGGCCTATGTTCAGCAGTGGACTTGTGAAGGGCTGTAATGATGATGATTCCATGAAGTTGGGTGAAATGCCTTTCCAATGCAAAAAATCATTCATAACTCCCATATTTAAAAGTGATATGAAGCACGATATTTCAAACTACCGTCCTATTTCAAAATTAAGCTCGATTCCAAAACTATTTGAGAAAATTATTTATGACACACTCAAATAATTCGACCAATTATAATTCCCGAACAACATGGTTTTGTAAGTCGAAATTCTACAGGAAGTAATCTATGAATTTCTCGATCATCTTTATACTGCTATGGACAGTGGACTGCAGGTAGATGCAGTGTACACCGATTATACAAAAGCATTTGACAAAATTTCACATGATATTCTGATACATAAATTAGATCAAATCGGTGTACTGGGTGAGTTACTCCGATGGATCCTATTATCTTAAAAAACATAGTCAGGCGGTTGCTATAAAGCAGTGGTTCCCTAACTTATTCTTATGCGCCCCCTTTCTACCAAAAAAAAAAATATCCCTTGATCAGATAATTTTAGATTACTGTCAAGTTTTTTTTATAGGAGAGTGAACAAATGAGCATGCGGCTCACCTGATGGTAAGCGACTACCGCCGCCCATGAACAACTGCAACACCAGGGGAATTGCACATGCGTTGCCGGCCTTTTAAATAGGAGTAGGCTCTTTTCTTGAAGGTCCCTAAGTCGTATCGGTCCGGAAAAATCGCTGGTGGATTCCAAAAGGAAGTTGTTCGAGGGAGAAAACTTCTAAATCGCACAGTGGTGGACCGCCAATCATCTAGATGGTATGAATGGTATCGCGAGTTTTGTCGCGATGTGCGATGGTGAAATTTTGCGGTTGGAATTAGTCTGAACAATTCCTCAGAGTACTCCCCGTGATAGATGCGATAAAATATGCAAAGAGATGCAACATCTCTACGCAGTGCCAGTGAGTGATGCCGATCGGAAAAAACTCGGTCGTCGTCGATTCGAACCGCTCTGCGCTGGATGCGGTCAAGTGGAAGGAGCTGGCACTGGGGAGCCCCTGCCCAGAGATGGGAACAGTATTCCATGTGAGGCCGAACCTGCGCCTTGTAAAGTTGCAGGCGGTGTGCCGGCATGAAATACTGTCCCGCTCTGCTGAGCACGCCAATCTTTTTTTAGAGGCCAATTTGGCCTTCTCTTCCAAGTGACCACGAAACTGCACGTCACACGATATGTCGACACTGAGGATTCCGATATTGGCTGAGGCAACAAGGAGAGTGCCTTGAAACTGAGGAGATACGACAAAGGGGTTCTTTTTACCGGTAAACGAGCAAAAACTTTGGTCTTCTGGGGATTGAACTGGAAGATTTAGTCGACCCCAGTCTGAGACTTTGTTCAACAAAGTTTCGACTTCATATACAAGTTTGTTCCGGTAGTCGACAACGTTTTCCCGAGAAATATTGGCACGGCCGGTGTATAAAGCATCACCAGTGCTGTCGTCCGCATAGCAATGAATGTTACTGGTTTGCAACATATCATTGATATGCAGAAGAAACAACGTTGGTGATAGCACGCAGGCTTGTGGAACACCAGCTTGTAATCGGAGCATGCACCGTCCACTACGACCTTGATGCTCCGATCAGCAAGGAAACTGGTGATCCAATTGCATAATTTCTCGGGAAGCCCATAGGAAGGCAGCTTCGAAAGAAGTGCTTTGTGCCAAACCCGATCGAAGGCCTTCGCTATGTCCAAACTAACGACTAACGCCTCCCCCTTGGACTCCCTACCTCCGCCCATCTATGAGGTAACTTAAAAGATCACCAGTTGACCGACCTC